TATGAGGATGACGATCCTCTGTTCTGTAATAATGCTGCGAGTCAGATCAGTACAGATGTTTACCTGCGTGCATATTTTGCCAGTTTCTCCTCTTCCCAAGCCGTGTTCCCTCCTCCGAAATTCTTATTGGCTGTTCGCTCCAAACCCTATTGAAACAAGCACCATCATCTGAACTCAACACTACAACATTCTTGTCAATGTCAACATATAAAACCTTAACACTAGGTTTAGAGAATGATGCATAAATTACACAACGGTGTATATTCACAATATATTTGCAAAGATTTTACAGGTTAAATTGAACAAGACTGTGATTTTGATGATTAGATTAGTTTCATAGTTCTTCCTCGTCTCAGGACTCACAAATATGTCAGTAAGTTTTCTGTTATTTTTGGGACTTTTATATTAGGATGTTATATTGAAATCATTTTAAATGTTGTTTATTATTATGTTTTCTTATATGTGTATATAAAAGAACATGTTCATATCAAACAAAAAGATAGATGTCTGCACATTTACTATTAATTAAATAGATGTTTAAATTGGCAAAAATTGCAGATCTAGAATGTTTATTTACAAAAAAGGATGGGGACTGTGCCTGATGAAGACCCGACTGGTTGAAACACTGCACTGACTCTTGTGAATAAACCTTTAATTTCAGTGTGCGGACATTTGTCTTTTTCATGTGTGTTTTTTAATTTTATTTTATATTTTGTTTTTGTTTCCTCATATAAATGGACCCTGTTGAAATGTGCTGAGCATATGCTGGTTAGGTATGTTTTGAAGCATGGCTGCTGGTTTGAGCTGGTTTAAGCTGGTCCTGAGCAGGAGCTAGTTGCTTAGGACCAGCTTAAACCAGTTTTTCAACAGGGGAAGCTGACTGAATATCCTATTTCACTCTAAGTTAGAAAATGGCATCAGAATGAGCAGTAGCTAGTGAATGAGATCACCCAGACCTTGATGAAGCTGTCTGTGAGTCTGCGGCAGGTCTGACAGGGCGCCGTCCTCACCGTCCCCACAGACAGGAGCGAGCAGAGCACCAGCGCAGACACGAGCGGCCACGACCAGCACATCCCGTCCTGCACAGCACACACGGCCATCAGCGTCCATATCACTCAGACCGCACACACCAGCCCAGAACCACTCATCTCACTGCCACGCCTCACCTTTTCTAATGCATTACAGACCAGCCCAGGATACTCTCAGCCAATCAATTACTACTACGTACCATTACTGTAGTTTATGATTACTGGATAAGGATTTAGACAAACCATTTTATAAAGAAATGTCTTGCTAAACTAGAAAAAATGATATTCAAACGGAATATTCCTGATATATGCTACAAATGTAAACAAGAGAAGGAAAAAGAGAAGGGAACTTTATTCCATTGTATGTGGGAATGCACTAACGTTAATTGTTTTGGGGTTAAAATATTGAATATTGTAAGTCAAATTTATTCTTCTTGATCCCAGGTTGTGTTTATTACATATTTGTCCTCTGAATTTTTCAATCACCAAACATGAAAGATTGTTGTTAATTCTCTGTTTGCTGGAAGCTAAACGTGTTATTGCATGTTCTTGGAAAAAAAGAAGAAAGTCCTGGCATGTCTCAATGGATAAAGGGGATGACCTCATGCCTTGCCTTAGAAAAGATCACCTATCTTTTGAAAAACAAACTTCATGTATTTTGGTCCATCTGGAAAGTGTTCTATGACTTTTTGGAGAGTCTAGATGGTGACTCTTTTGTGGAATTGATGGACATTGAGAGTATATAGACAAGTTTGTTACTGCTGTATTTTTATTTTTTATTTCATTTTTTTAAGCGTATTGAGTTTATGTTTTGTTTTTTTTCAGTTATAATGAAAAATGTAACTGTTGTCTTAACCTCTATGACAATGTTTGAAAATAAAAAAAAAACAAAAAAAGCCAGAGAAATGTAAGAATGTTTTTTTTTTTTATGCATTTTTATTGACTTCCCCATGCCTGCTATTTTAAAAATTTTGGTTACACTTTATTTTAAGGTGTGCTTGTTACAGTGTAATTATACATTTACTAAGTAATATTAATTAACTACATGTACTTAATATATGGTTAGGGTTAGGATTAGGGTTTGGCTTAGGCTTACTTGCGTGCAATTATGCATCATTTATTGTTATTATAATAGTAAGTACATGTAACATGAGTAACAAGGGCACCTTAAAATAAAGTCTTACCAAATCTTTAAATTCCACAATATTTCCCAATGGTTCACGACTGTGGGAATCCTGTGTGATATATGAAATATGATGAAACATTGTGTTTTACTTTTCACTTTCACTGTTATGTTGACAATATTATTTGTACAAAATAAAAAGGGTATGAAGTTATATTAAAAATGCAACACAGAAACATTTTCACTAGTGATAGCTAGGGTTGGGAATCGAAAATCAATTCCAATTCCAGAATCAGACACTAAAGGTCGGGAATCGGACACTTGTTGTAAATTACAATTTCAATTCCATCTATCAATTCCTGTGTGGGCATCTTTTGTTTTTAGCTGCCGAAAAGTGGCTGTTAAAAATGTACTTTGAATCATTCATTCAAAAGATTCATTTAAACAGACTGCTTCATCCAGTAATGAAATGAGTCACTAAATCATTCCATGAGATTTTGTTTAGTTGTCTTATATTTTTTTTAAGTCTCAATTTATTCAGAATCATGCAGCTCTATTTTGCACACAAACAACTCTTAATCGAGTCCAGATTTTATGAAGCCGGCTGATTTTTTTTATGGTATTCAGCAGCAATTAAATGTTTGTTTGTTTTTTCAAAAAGAGACACAAGATAAATGTTTGATATCTAAATGTTTTTTGACTTTTTTCAAACCACCTTGGAATCGGAATCGATCAAATTCAAGCTGTACCCAGCACTAGTGATAGCAGAATTGTGGACCGGACTGTAAACCTGTGACACGAAAGAGCCATACGGTGTGGTGTGCTCTTATGTGCGAGTCTCACCAGCATCCTCAAGCCCTCGTGCACTGAAGCATCAGCTCCTCTTGCTGTGTGAGGTTTGTGTATGGGCTGAACTGCTCTGATGCTGATGCTGATGCTGAGCTGCTGCTGCTGCTGTAGGCCAGATCACAGATGCCCAATAGCGTCTGCCCTGACTGACTGCTGGACTTCATATGTTCACGCAACATTACAGCTCTAGTCTTAAAATAAACGCAGTCCTTCACAGCATTGCTCATCTACACTGACGCTAGAGTGGTTCAATTGTAGCACTGTTTCTACGGCGCTGGCTGTGACGCGACGCTGCACCGAAACATTGTTTCATTCACAAGCCTGTATTTGAGCATTACGTAAGCCGAAGTGCGATTATTTTTGTTCCGTATACTCACTTTGTAAGACTGCGTTTGGGCGGTGAGCAGCTTCCAAATCCTTTCGCCAGAAACACGTCTTCGAGGGGCAGTGATAACGCCGCCGCACTAAACAGCTCCAGCGCTCGCGCTTCTAGCTCGTTCTGTGTGTGTGCTGCGGCTGCTCTCTCAAGTCCCGCCTCCGGGTGTACGCGGCCAATCCTTATCAAGGAAGGATTCCGACGCGCCAATCACAGACCGCCGTGTGCCAGAATGAAAGTCGTGGATCACGTTTCGTCATCGCCCAGGCCACGCCAGAATAACATTTTATTTAACCTTACGGCGATTTTTTTTTTTCATTAATCAACAAAAGTATATTTTATTATTATTATTTTATTTTTATTTTTGCTAAACACATCATGCGTACTGGCACAATGTTAATATATCACAAGTCCACTGTGTGCCACTTTGCATGATCAAGAATCTCTTCACATAACTTAAAACACAATTCTAACGCACTTCATGCCATTTAATTAAAAAAATCCCAAGTTCTTGAACATTATTATACAATTAAACCAATAGGGGAGACTGGGACTAGTTGGGACTAGTCACAATTTTTACTGTATAGGCACACAACTTGAAGCCACAAATAGAAATAAATAGAAATAAAAATTGACAAAAGACAAATCATTCATGTAACCGTACACCTGACTCAAAAGCTCTCATCTTAAATGAGAGATATAGCTTTGTGCCTCCTCTATACTCCAAAAGGCACGGCAATTTAATTGTGCACTAGTCAGAGGAAAAAAGTGACTCCTCTCACAATTTTGACCTTTTTTTCATTTGTCTTTGGAGTTCTGTCATGTTGTGTGTGTCTTCGTGTGTTCAAGAGGGAGTCCAGCGTGTGGTTCCTCATGTAAAACAAGCTCTGGTCCATCCAGCAGACTCTATTCTCAGCTTGACATAAGGTATGTGTTTACATAATTATATAAATTTTTACATCAATGCCAGACTGAGTTCATTTAGACCTGGGCAGCTTCTGAAATCGCCTCCTAGGCTATGCAGTTCAGTAAAGGGTCTGCACAGTCTATTTTAGATGAACACCTGTGCAATTTCACTGAGCCACACTACATGTGAGCACACATTAAGGGACGAGTTCACTAAAAATGTGCTGAAAATGTCCTCCCCCTCAGTCCGTCCAAGAATAGGGTGAGTTTGTTTCTTCATCAGATTTGGAGAAATGTAGCATTGCATCAGTGTCTCAGCAATGGATGCTCTGCAGTGAATGGGTGCCGTCAGAATGAGAGTCCAAACAGCTGATAAAAACATCACAATAATCCACAGCACTCCAGTCCATCAGTTAACATCTGGAGAAGACAAAAGCTGAAACACATCCAGCATTAAGATGATTTTAACTAAAATACCAGTCCATAATCCATAATAACGCTTCCTCCAGTGAAAAAGTGTTCTGGTCTGAATCAGGAGGGAAATCTGCACAGATCAAGCAGCGTTTACAAGCCAAAACAGCTCTGAACAAATATGTGGCTGGATTATGATGTGACAGACAACAGGAGATGCACTTTTTCACTGGAGGAAGAGTTATTATGGACTTGTATTTTAGCATTAAAATCATCTTAATGCTGGATTTGTTTCAGCTTTTGTCTTCTCAAGATGTTAACTGATGTACTGGAGTACTGTGGATTACTGTGGTGTTTTTATCAGAGGTCTGGCTAAGACTAGTTTAGACCCAGCCTTCAGTGCGTGTTTTGGTGTGGAGAGCAGGGCTCGACTGGTCTGCCTGTAGCGGGACAGTTTCCCAGGCTTCCTCTGTCCCAGGCTCTACAGAGTCCTGAGGGAGCCCTCGGAGCGAGCGTGACACTGCTCTGGACGCCACCGCTCTGACACACTCTGTCCCTTACCAGCCCCTCGCCTCAGCTCCATTATGAAGTCCAGACTCTGAGAAGGCAGGCTGAACAAAGGCAGCTCCCTGAAGAACTCCGGCAGGGTCGTCACAGGGCTCTGCTCATCAAACCGGACCAGGATGAACCGCTCTCCGGCTTGACCCAGCAGATAGTCGGCCAGAATGCAGCTCAGCGATGCATCGAAGACCTCGGAGCACGTCAGTGACTGGACACCCCTGTTTACCCACGTCTGCCTTTCTTCTTCCGGTTTCCGCTGGGCAACATGACAGCCCCATTCCTCGGCTCGCTCGCAGGCCCCCTGGGTCAGGACCAGCACCGCCTTGCCCCCGCGCTGCTGAACCCGGTCCATACAGGAGTGCAGCCAGGGCACAGGCCCCAGGGCGCTGATCTCCGAGCGGCTCCACAGGTCCAGAGAGACGCTGAAGCCCACGGCGCACAGACTGGAGCACTGGCGGCACACCAGCTCAGCGATGGCACAGTCCGCATCGGGAGGACACACCAGCAGCACCTCCATGCCCCCCGCCGCAGCTGAAATCACATGACCATCACTCACAACAACTACAGGAACTGACCAGCATGAGAGCTGAGAGCAAGAAGGAAACTCACACTTCACATCGTCCACCTTCAGCCATCTGAACACGCAGCCTGTTATAGAGAGAAGGGTTATTAGCACTTCAGCTCACAAAGATTTCACACATTTCACACAAAAATCACAATTGCAGCAAAAATCTAAATTGTATTGCGTAATCAACGTAATCAGCATTGTTTACATAATTACATAATCAATATTGTATTTAAATTATTTTTCTAATTACTCTGTCTGAAAAGTAATTTAGTTACTCAATAAGTAACTTAATTATTTAAATTGTTAATTTTAGTTAAAATCCCTATAAACATTAAAGCAGAGACAATAGAAATTAAACTCTTTATTCTTTCAATTTGAGTCAAACGTGGAATAGTTTAGCCTTTTAGTTTTAAAACAAATGTAATACTTAAACATTTTAACAAAACAATTTAACCTTTTTTGGTTAACAAATAGAATTACTATGCAAAATATCTGAATGATTTTCAAAGCAATGAGTACCATATTTCATACATTTACAGTTACAGAAATGATCTCCTCCGCTGAATAAAGCCCATATTAGTTTTCAATTTGAGTTGGTTCATTTAAAAGTAGACACCTCAAGCTTTCTATATCTCTCATGGCTGTGTGTGTCAAGCATTCACTGAGTTTCGGTTCATTTTTGTGACGCGTTGCAGATAGAAGTTCACGGAGACAGAGACGGCAGAAAGCCCACCCTGTTTGTTTTCTTTATTTTACAAAAGCACAATGTTTTGTTGTTATGTAACGCAAGTACTTTAGAAGTAACTGTAATTAAATTACATAAAAAAGAGCAGTAATCCCTACTTCACTTTTTCAGTGGATAAGTAATTTAATTACAGTAACACCCAACACTGTTTACATCAAAGACTATAGATATACAAAGACGGTTCACTCCTATACTTACGAATGGGAGAAACTGCAACGCGCAATATGGCGGAATAGTCCCGCCTACTAAATGAAAGAGCCAATCGCTGATTGGTAAAGTCATTGCATCACTGCAGCAGCCGTTAGAAGCTCCGGTTCCCATAGAAACCTGAGGCTAGAGCAGCTGATGCGCATGCACAGTCATAATTGGCTTGTCTAGCCTGAAAAATAAGCTTTTCTAACGCTATTTGAGCATAAGCAACAACATTCATGGGGCAGTTCATTTCAGATTTTGTTGCTGCTTTGAAATATGTAATTAAATTGTGAGTTCACAAGGCAGTTTTTGATCTATCTAGTCATTTAGATAGGACTTGGTCTTGTTTGAGCTGCCCGGAGGCGTTGCAGATACAGCCGCCGAGTGAACGGGCTTTCCTTGAAAGGGACTTTGTTTACGTTCAGTAGACAGCGCGCACATACTGAATGTAAACAACGATGATTACGTTGATTACGTTCTGGGTACGCTCCAAAATGGCGGAAGATGGTAACTCGGGGAGAAGAACTGTTGAATACATTATGTTATTATTGTTTTCTTTTGCGCACAAAAAGTATTCTCGCTGCTTTGTAAAATTACGGTTGAACGCCTGATGTCACATGGATTATTTTACCGATCTCCTTACTACGTTTACTATGTGCCTTGATCGTGTTAGTACCCTTGCTGTCTATGGGAGGGTCAGAGAGCTCTCAGATTTCATCAAAAATATCTTAATTTGTGTTCCGAAGATGAAGGAAGGTCTTACGGGTTTGGAACGACATGAGGATGAGTAATTAATGACAGAATTTACATTTTTGGGTGAACTAACCCTTTCAGCTCACAAAGATACACGTTTTACACAAAAATCACAATTGCAGCAAAAATCTAAATTGTATTGCCAAATTTGGGGTTCATATAATCAGAACTTTCAGAATCTGAAATAGGATTGGCTTCATTCCGATTGAGGAAAATCAGTGCATGTAAAGATACCCATTGAGGACTGATTAATTGACTGTTGTCCCAACCACTGACTTCCTAGGATGGTTGTCTCTCATATGTCTCTCATGTCACGCTCTCATTCTTCTCACATAATTTCAGGTCAAATCAGCATTTATTGTGGTCATGTAATAATACACAAGTGTGCTTTCTTGCCATGCCATAATGACCAGCTGACCTTACAACAGCACATATTTTCCACCATATGCCACTGTTTTCCACACGCATATGAATTCATAGCTTTAATGGGGTTAAATTATAGTTGCACCATTTCAGCTATTATTGCAGCTAATATTATTATTTTAATATGAGAGAAGTCTCTTGTGCTCACCAAGGTTGCATTTATTTGATCAAAAATACAATATAAACAGTAATATAGTGAAACATTATTATAATTTAAAACAGCTGTTTTCTATGTGAATATGTGTTAAACTGTAATTTATTTCTGTGATCAAAGCTGAATTTTCAGCATCATTCCTCCAGTCTTCAGTGTCACATGATCTTCAGAAATCAAGAAACATTTCTGATTATTATCAGTGTTGAAAGCAGTTGTGCTGCTTCATGTTTTTGTGTAATCTGTGTTCTACTCACTCTTCAGTGTCCCTTGCACTGCATAGGCTGCCAGCACCGACAGGCACACTAGCAGCGCACACAGCACCAGCGGGACGCTCCAGCGAGCCCTCTCCCCTGCAACAGTTAAACAATGAGCTGTTATTAAATCGCTGTCTGTTTCATCTGCAATGCATTATGTTGCAGTACTGAAGTACTATGGCACATTAAAACTGCTCTCTAATCAGAACTAATGGATGTGAGCTCTTGCCTTCAAAAGGACATACTGGTCCCAGGTAACCATCCATTCCTGACACTTTAACCTGGACAAGAGACACAATGCTGCCAGTCCCCCAAAACACACAGGTATGTCAGAAATAGACTGCAAATGTGATCAAATATGTTTTATGTACCTGCATACACAATGAAGGATTACGATCCACTAGTAAAAACTCTCCTTCTAACTGCTGCAACAGATGAAAGAAAAAGTAAGTATCAGAGAAGTAAACGGTTTTCTCTAACTTATACTGTAAGTGAAGCCTCACCATTATTATTGCTTACAGTTCTTGTTCTTATGATTTTAATGGACCCCTAACCCGGAATATTAAACTTCACCATCATGTAACTGGTCCCATCCCATATTTGACATCTCGAGAACATGTTCGCACCCAGTGTCTGTTGTCGGTCTCCTTCCAGCTGTCGTTCAGCCGGGTGTGGACCTGAGATCTGCTGCTGACCGCGTGGCAGCTGCTGTCCAGTCCTGAGCCCTTCCTACACAACCACAGCTGAGCCTCCAGCCTGCAGGGGGCGCTGAGGCTCCAGACCAGAACTGGCTGCCTGTGACGAGTTTTATTCTCTGCCAAAGACATGGACACGCTGGAGCCTGAGACAGCTGAGAACGAAACCAGATCCAGACACTCATGATGTTACAGTGCTTGCACTGGCTGCATTGTTATTTACTGAGCTGACGCTCTCTGGACAGCATCTGTAGCATGCACGATTATCGAAGAATATCATTTCAATGCTTTCTTCAATTTGTCAAAAAAAAAACGAAAGTCCCAATTATAGTATATGAAGCTTACAGTGGAAATCTACAGAGCCTGTGGAATGGAGGTTTTAAAGTGAAATGTGAAATGCTGTATTCTCTTTGGTTCAACGTGAAAAGAGTGTGCCCACTAGAAAGCCACTTCCAGCCTGTAAACTCTTTGATTTTATCAAGGTGTGGCTAAATATTCAGAATATTTTTGAATGCCATACTGTACCTGTTTCGTTCAAAAATGGGCAATACTCTCTTCGGAGAAATTGTCCCCAAATCTATGCAAAAGTAGAAACAGAATAAGCATCAGTTAAAAAGCAAGAAAAACTGCAAAAAGAATAACATTACTAGCTAATATTTATTTCGTGGTAGACAGTTTTTTAACAATTTTCACGTTCTAATAAAAAAAAACACTGTATTAGCTTTCAGTCTTCAGTCAATGTAACTTATATAACACATTCATTCTGTATGTTTGCATGCAACAATTTAATATATGATGCTTTTCTATTTATTTGTTTAAAGGGGTCATATGAAGCGATTTCAATTGTTCCTTTCTCTTTGGAGTGTTACAAGCTCTTGGTGCATAAAGAAGATCTGTAAAGTTGCAAAGACTAAAGTCTCAAATCCAAAGAGATATTCTTTATAAAAGTTCAGAGTCAGCCACACCTACCTAAAACGCCTCGTTCTAACACGCCCCCAATATGTCTACGTCACTATGTGGGAAGATTTGCATAACGCCGCCCAAATGTTCACGCAAAGAAAGAAGGCGTAACTTTTATTCTCGCTGTTGCTGCCGCCATGTTGTGAAGGCGCTGTGTGATTCGTTGTGAAAGTGAAACTACTTTGTTTGGTCTTCCAAAAGAGGACGATATCCGCTCCGTCATGCCTAGAGTTGATCCGTGCTGGTCGCTGAGGGAATAAAATACACAAAATAATGTTCTTTTTAGCAGCATCATATGACCCCTTTAATAATTCAATTAAACTTTTGCTTAATCCCTCCCTGTAGCTTGTACTATTGTAAACTATGTCTGAAACTTTGTATTACAAACATTTCTTGTGTTGTATTGTCTGTTTATGATGAATCCCTTGTATTCCTCTTAAGTCAATTTAGATAAAAGTGTCTGCTAAATGAATCAATATAAATGTAAATAAATTATTTGAGGCATTACCTCAAAGCACAGACAGGGGGCGACAGAGCTGAGTGAAATCTTAAACTCATGGCTGGCATTTTTCTTTACAATAAGGAAGAGACAGACAAACAAGTTAAAACTTAAATAAAGTAATTAAATGTAAATGTATTACAGAGCAGCGTGACATACCCATTCCACCTTAACACAGGGTCCCTTCCTGTCCAGCTTCTGGCACGCGTTAAACTCCTGAAATCTCTCTTGATCTGCATTGGCCACATACAGTATCATTGCTCCTGTCACATTGTCAGTTTTCTTGTGCAGCTTGGGAGCTACTGGAAAACAAAGCCAATGAGAGGAGATTCTAGTGGGCCACTGATGGGCCTGCACCACATCTTTGAAAAAACCTCTTTGACTAAATCAGATTGGCATTTACTGTGTCCTCTACTAATATTGGCACCCTTGGTAAATATGAGCTAAACAGACAAAACTTGTTCTTTGATTCAAAATAATCATAAAAATGTTTTTCTCCAAAATTTGTGTGCAAAAAATTATATATACTGGCCCCACACAGTGAGGAGGATTGGAGGATTGTTTATGTAGCCAATGAATCTATAAGAATCACAGTTGGAGACTGCAGACACTAATTGGGTTTTGGGCTTAGAAAGTCTCCAAAACTATGAACAGACCTGTTACATGTTCCCTGTGAGTGTGTGTGTGTGTGTGTTTGTGTGTGTGTGTGTTTTGCCCCTGTCTGCTGTGTGCCTTGTTTGTCTCTATATTTATCCTCATTAGTAGCCATAGCCACTCATTGGACCACATCCATCTGCATGTTAGTTCCCATATCAGCTCATTCGTCCATTTTGTTCTCCTGTGTATAAACAGTCCCTGTGTTTTCCCTGTGCTTTGTCAGTTGTTGAATGTAAAATAAATAACATTTATTTTATTTTTCTATGTATTTTTCCATGTTTTGTTTATTTATATATACATATGTGTCTTTTTATTCTCATATTATTATTTTTTTATCTGTGTGTTGTTGTCTCTGTGTACTGGAAGCTTGTGACACTAAAACAAATTCCTTGTATGTGCAAACATCTGTGGCAATAAACTTCTTCAGTTTACCCATGCATGTTTTTGTTCCTGGTTATCTGTGTTTCTGGTTCTTTGTTTATTTTACTTCATTAAACTCCCTGCAAATAGATCACCTCCGCTGTTTGCACCTGCACCAACATTACAGAACAACTGACCATTGTTATGGATCTAGCAGGAGTCCATCTGATCCTTCTTCACCAGGGATAGCATTCCCTCAAGGACCACACCCATGAGTTTTTGGACCTGGCCTACCACACCCACTTTACGGACAATTCACTCATAACCTTTTATCGTGCTGGACTTAATGAACCACTACACACACAACTATCCTGTGCTGGTCCTTGAGGGACTTTTCAGCAATTTGTGGAGCACGCTCTTCAACTAAGTGGATCCCCCTTTACTGTGGGAGGAAGGGAAAAGCATCCATCATCTTCATTTTTTGGGGGGGGGCTATGCTCCTCAAGCTTCGGGAGACGCGGGGCTTGAGCCACCACTTATGTTATCAGCCTGCATCATCTCAGCCATTGTACTCATCTCGGGGAGGACGAGACTGGCGTTCAGTAGTCTTCACTAGAGTGACTGAGAGACTCAAGACACTAGAGTCTTCAGCCATCATGGACACCACACCAGTGTTTCTGTGCATCAAGAACGTCGCATCTGAGGCCACAAGAATGATCCCTAGGCGTTTCTGTCCTGACCACGGAGGTCGTCCCTGAACTCTTTACCACAGAGGCCATTAGTAACCACTCTGTGCTTTTTGTGACAGTTCTGCCTGATCCACCATGGTGGTCTCCAGCTCCACCCTGACCACCAGACCTGCCAGCTCCTCCCTGGCCTCTTGCTCCACTGGCTCCACCCTGGTCACCAGATCCGCTGGCTCCGCTCTGGCCATCCGCTCTGCCTGCTCCAACCTGAGCTCCACCTCAGTGATTCCAAGTCTGCTGGTCCCCAGTCTGGTGGCCTCAGTCCTCCCTCATCCAGTGGTCCCAAGTTCAATGGTCCCAGAGGTCTTTTCACTGTTGACTGCATTTCCTGTAATGGGAACTGCCATCTTGTATGTTTGGATCGCATACACTTCCCCTTTTCCTCCCAAGGTGGCAGCATCCACTCATAAGCTCTATGTCTGCTCTGATACAGCCACAGAGGGCTCTCTTGAACTCTATGTATGCTCTGACACCACCATGTCCATAAACTCTGTTTCTGCGTTCACCTTTGTGATAAAGTATGGTGGAGGCACTGGATGTGTGTGTGTGTGTGTGTTTGTGTGTGTGTGTGTTTTGCCCCTGTCTGCTGTGTGCCTTGTTTGTCTCTATATTTATCCTCATTAGTAGCCATAGCCACTCATTGGACCACATCCATCTGCATGTTAGTTCCCATATCAGCTCATTCGTCCATTTTGTTCTCCTGTGTATAAACAGTCCCTGTGTTTTCCCTGTGCTTTGTCAGTTGTTGAATGTAAAATAAATAACATTTATTTTATTTTTCTATGTATTTTTCCATGTTTTGTTTATTTATATATACATATGTGTCTTTTTATTCTCATATTATTATTTTTTTATCTGTGTGTTGTTGTCTCTGTGTACTGGAAGCTTGTGACACTAAAACAAATTCCTTGTATGTGCAAACATCTGTGGCAATAAACTTCTTCAGTTTACCCATGCATGTTTTTGTTCCTGGTTATCTGTGTTTCTGGTTCTTTGTTTATTTTACTTCATTAAACTCCCTGCAAATAGATCACCTCCGCTGTTTGCACCTGCACCAACATTACAGAACAACTGACCATTGTTATGGATCTAGCAGGAGTCCATCTGATCCTTCTTCACCAGGGATAGCATTCCCTCAAGGACCACACCCATGAGTTTTTGGACCTGGCCTACCACACCCACTTTACGGACAATTCACTCATAACCTTTTATCGTGCTGGACTTAATGAACCACTACACACACAACTATCCTGTGCTGGTCCTTGAGGGACTTTTCAGCAATTTGTGGAGCACGCTCTTCAACTAAGTGGATCCCCCTTTACTGTGGGAGGAAGGGAAAAGCATCCATCATCTTCATTTTTTGGGGGGGGGCTATGCTCCTCAAGCTTCGGGAGACGCGGGGCTTGAGCCACCACTTATGTTATCAGCCTGCATCATCTCAGCCATTGTACTCATCTCGGGGAGGACGAGACTGGCGTTCAGTAGTCTTCACTAGAGTGACTGAGAGACTCAAGACACTAGAGTCTTCAGCCATCATGGACACCACACCAGTGTTTCTGTGCATCAAGAACGTCGCATCTGAGGCCACAAGAATGATCCCTAGGCGTTTCTGTCCTGACCACGGAGGTCGTCCCTGAACTCTTTACCACAGAGGCCATTAGTAACCACTCTGTGCTTTTTGTGACAGTTCTGCCTGATCCACCATGGTGGTCTCCAGCTCCACCCTGACCACCAGACCTGCCAGCTCCTCCCTGGCCTCTTGCTCCACTGGCTCCACCCTGGTCACCAGATCCGCTGGCTCCGCTCTGGCCATCCGCTCTGCCTGCTCCAACCTGAGCTCCACCTCAGTGATTCCAAGTCTGCTGGTCCCCAGTCTGGTGGCCTCAGTCCTCCCTCATCCAGTGGTCCCAAGTTCAATGGTCCCAGAGGTCTTTTCACTGTTGACTGCATTTCCTGTAATGGGAACTGCCATCTTGTATGTTTGGATCGCATACACTTCCCCTTTTCCTCCCAAGGTGGCAGCATCCACTCATAAGCTCTATGTCTGCTCTGATACAGCCACAGAGGGCTCTCTTGAACTCTATGTATGCTCTGACACCACCATGTCCATAAACTCTGTTTCTGCGTTCACCTTTGTGATAAAGTATGGTGGAGGCACTGGATATCTTGTTGGGATACATGGTGCATCAATTACCAACAGATATTAAATTAGCATCTAAATAACCCTGTCACAAAGTTAAAACTGGGCCTTCCAGCAGGCAACTAATGTTATAGCTATAATAACTCAGGAAAGTAAAGAGGTCCAGGGTTCCTGATCACCTGCGAAGATCATGCCAAGATCCTTCTGCAGGGAGGCATGAGGACTGCAGGTGTGGCCAGAGCAATAAACTCCAATGTCTGTAATGTAATAAGACAGAGTTGCAGGGAGATAGGAAGGACAGCTGATCGTCCTTGCTGTGGCAAACCATGTGTAACCATTTTTGGAAGTTTACCAGAATTGTTCCGCCCCTTTTGCAACCCTAGTCCCTCCAGATGTGTTTGAGAGCTTGCCAGTGCCTTGGTGGAAGAGTGGAGTAACATCTCACAGCAAGACCTGGCAAATCTGGTGCCTTCCATGAGGATGAGATGCACACCCCTTCCCCCACACTTTGTTCAGGGACTCATTATTCTCTTTCTGTTTGTCAAAGGCCTGCGAAACTTGTTCAGTTTATGTGTCAGTTGTTTAACTTTTTATGTTTTTCGTTTTCAACAAACATTTACACGTTAAGAAATTAGCAGGAAATAAAAGCAGTTGGAATTGAGAGAACATTTCTCGCTTCATATATTCTATATATTTTCTTTTAATTACAAATACAATTTTATTTCAATTATTTGACTTTCATAAAAAGTTATAGTCAGTAATATTTGATTTCATGGTAACTTCAGTTGCTGCTTTTTACACAAAGTTTGTTGGCATTCACTGATGCAATGTAAACTTTACAGTGCATTCAAACTACATGATGCCATGGAAATTGAACCCATGATCTGCAACTTTATTACTGTCACTCTACCAGTCACGTAAACTAGACAGGTAAACCTATTAACTTACCTTTACAGAAGATGGCATCCAAACCCTTGGAACACGCTGTAAAAAATAGAAAGATGTATTGATGCCATCCATCAACAAATGTTAAGCAGTCATTTATGCGTCTCAAATACATAGTGAAAGAGGTGTGCATGTTTTACAGCATATTTACCTTCTTCTTCTGAAGGGAGAACGACACGTTTAGTGGAGTTTGAGTATGAAGAATGGACTAGGACAAAATTGCCGAGTTCTGCCTTCGGTATGTTCACCACAAAAGACATCCACACCTACGACACACACATCTGATCAGCTCATGCAGTGCAACACTTTACAAATCAAAACCAAACTAGAAAATGTTTAAATATTGAACTTTAAATGTTAGCCTGACAAAGGCTTGCCCAAAATTTGAAAATAGTCTGAAGCTGAGGCTTTAAGTCTAGTCTTGAGAGAACTTTGAAGGGTTTGAAAGGTATGTAAACCTTGTCTTATCAGAATACTTGAGCAGATTAAAGAGAGATATGAAAGAGATTTGAAAGCTGAATGGATGGATAGATGGATGGATGGATAGATAGATGAATGGATGGATAGATAGATCCTGTGTTTGACCTGCAGAGTAGTGCTGTCATCAAACGCTGAAGAACGGACTGTGAACCAGAGCATGCTGGAGTGGCTCTGTGAAGAGTACGAAAAACACACACAAACAGCGAAGGCAGGCGTCATGTTGTCGAGGTCTTCTTGATGAGCGCCTCCATGCATTTCCTCTGCCTTTTCATCACCACTGCCATCACCAGTCACAGGTTGATCTGCATCTAACACAGCATCAACACACCTCAAGAAATAATCCTGTGGTTCAGAGAAACTCAGCCCCCAAATCTACTGCCATGACATACCTGTGACTGTGACGTTCACCAGGACTTTCAGGCACAAGCTCCATGTCTGCTGCTTTTGGCACTGCACGATGTAGGCGTCTAGACTGCTCACATAGACATGCTCATCATCCTGAATGCAAGTAGGGCCCCCTACAACAAGACAATTAGACAAATTAAGCCAGTGAAGTTTTGCTGGTCATGTGAAATATCTGCCATACGCTGATTCACACATTAGTCTATGTTTTCTTACCTGATTTTACTTCACAGTGAATGATACCCTACAGAGACAAAACAATGAACAAACATTCAGTCATATTAGCACACTAACAGAAATCACACACACACACACATACAGTATACACAGAAAGCCATATATTCATAAAACATGCACAGGTCATATTTCATGACAAAATCCAAATGTTTTGCTTATTTTGCTTAAAGGCAACAACACCTATATTTCAGGATCATCAAGACTCAGGGATAAAAATATAAAATAATTACATTTAGGACTATATTACTGTCATTTCAGTAAAACAAAACTGTATTACAGTTGTATATGCATGCAAATGTAGTGGTATTTTTTGATATGCATAGATTGTTGTAGATAACAGCATGTCTCTGCTGGCTTTGCACACTAAGCGCATGTGTGCACATATACAGAAAACTAAACACATGCACACAACTCTCCACAGCAAACAAGAAAACGTCGTAAAACTGACAAAAGTCCACCCACTCTATGACAGACACACACACACACACACACACACACGTAAAAATCTACCTTTCACATAAAACTACAAACATTTTTAGATTCTCAAAACACTTCATTCTGCCTGATTTTTAACTTGTCTCCTCATGAGGACCAAGAAATGTCCCTATAATATAATATATTATATAAGGGATATTTTGTCCCTATAATATAATAATGAACCACACACACACACACACACTGCCCCTCAGCAAACAGGCAGATTCCCAGTAACTGTATCCATGTAGAAACATGTCTGAGCTGAAACCTCAGTGAATCAACAGTATCTACTACACTAACAACAGTTAGAAAGCAGGACGGAAACAGGTTTATAACAGTTTTATGTTTTCAGCTAATTGTAGCTACTTTAGCCTCGATATGCTTGTTTATTACTAACTTTAAAAAGTGAACTGTCTATCTAGGAAGACTGACTCATTGACCGTACTGTAGCCTACCTGTCCACAGGTGAGCGCATGATCCGGCCGGAGCTCGATCCTCTCCAGCGCCCGTGTGAAGATACACAGCGGCACAGAGACCAGCAGCAGGGGCCACACACTCATGACACACTCACACACACACTCAAACACACACACTGGATGCTGTCTGGATTCCCACTCAGTTCACAAGAGACTGAAAGAGCACAGAGAGAGAGAGAGAGAGAGAGAGAAACCTTTTGATCTATGGCTTCTGCCAAATTAAATAATATTAATATGTAGCATCAATACTTCAAACATTCCCTTACGAAAACTGACAATTGGTTTTACTACAAAAAAAACATGGTTAGGCTACTGTAATTAAACTACGGTAACCACAGATGACTCATGGTTTTGCTACACTAACCATAGTTTATCCATGGCATTTGTAGTAAAACTGTTGTTATACAGATGGTAGTCAGTATGCCAAAAAGCCATGGTTACTTCACTTTTACTATAATAAAACCATGGTTAAAAGGGCTGTAAAAAAATAAAAAAATAAATAAATTGCTGCCTTAAACAGTTTTAAAAGTTGATTGTACCTAAACATTTAAGTTTTTTTTTTTAACCTTAAATTATATTAAACTGGCTTTAAAAAGGGTTAAATCTTGTATAACTTTTAAAGAAGCTGAAAATGGCCTAATTTATTTTTATTAAAAAAAAATCTAAGTTAATGTAAAAACACTTACTGACTTATTGAACAATTTTTTTTACAGTAAAAGAATCGTTATTTGAAAGAATGATTCACATAAATTAAAATGTAAATGAAAGCTGCTATATTCTGTGTTTATGTAAAATATTTCATGGCAGGTTATAACCCATTTAACAACTGAAGAGGGAACCTGAAAACAGATAATACACTGAATGTATTCATTTGTAAACCAGGAACTGAATACTGATGTTTACCTTCTGTCTTTTGTTTTGTGGGTTAGAAAAGTGAAATGACTCACCATGTGTTCCTCAGGAGCGAGTGGTTCGAGGTGTGCGGAGAGCGGAACTCTACAGCTCTTTTACAGGGAACTGTTTGGAATAACAAATATCCTCCTACTCCACCCAACAGCAGCACATCAGCGCAAACACTGCACTCTTTCATAAACACTCACTCTATATTTACTTCAAACACAGTTACCTCAAAAATAGATAACTATAACTAAAATATTTATTCAATACACTTAATGCTCTAATGTAAAGTGTGACAGATGAGATTACATCTCATTGATGCTGCACAGTATAACAAAAAAACGCATATCATTGATTTTTCTTTTTTGATTTATCAAATCCAGGCACTTACATAAATAATTACAGTTAAATTCTTGCAGCATTGTTGCAGTTTCTCGACTTTCCCATAAATGCAAAAAAAATGCTCTGGTTGCTAACGTCACCTTGGTTCACTTAGATAACGGGAATGGGTATTGCGTTAACCTAACTTTTGATAATGCTTGTGTAGCTGCATAAACAAACTGCATTTCAGCCCTCCAAAGCTGATGGACCATCTGCCTATATAAGTTGGCACTAAATGGCATTTCATCAGAATATTTCGACTGGTAAGCAGCAGCATCAACTTAGGTGCAGCATAGTAGCACAGCCAGCTATGCAATGCTTATTCCCTGAGGTTACATTAGTAACCGGAATGTTCCCTATCAATATAGTTCACTCACATTGCATTAACTTAACACTTACTGTATGGGGAACGATATCCAATAGCACCGTGCTACAAGCGCAGAACAAAAAGCCATCCTACAAGCCCCGCTCAAGGTGAGGGCACTAAGGGCAGAATCTATAAGGGCAGAATTAACCTGGAATCAGTGAGACCCAGGCCATGATAGTAGAGTGTTCGGACAAAAAATGGCCCTAATAGGCCTGACAACCGCCAGGGGCACAGGTTGGTTCAGCGGTCTTAAAGGGGTCATCGGATACCCATTTTCCAAAAGATTCTTTAGGGTCTTAATGAAAAGTCTGTAACATAGTTAGGTTAAAATTTCTCAATGGTAGTGTAAAACAACACCGTTTTTACCCTGTCAAAAACAGCTCTGTCTACAAACAGCTCTGTCTACAGCAAGCCGTTTTATTGCACGTCACTTTAAATGCAAATGAGCTCTGCTGACCCCGCCCCTCTCTTCCGAAGCCGCTCTCTGAGAGACAGTAAACTTTAGCCACATTCATTGTGAAACTTGCTAATTAGCACATTATTAGGAAAGCCGATTTGCAAAGATTCATAAAAAAAAACCTTACACTCACTTCATCTGTAGGTGAAGCTGGATCAAACGTCACCTTGGTTCACTTAGATAACGGGAATGGGTATTGCGTTAACCTAACTTTTGATAATGCTTGTGTAGCTGCATAAACAAACTGCATTTCAGCCCTCCAAAGCTGATGGACCATCTGCCTATATAAGTTGGCACTAAATGGCATTTCATCAGAATATTTCGACTGGTAAGCAGCAGCATCAACTTAGGTGCAGCATAGTAGCACAGCCAGCTATGCAATGCTTATTCCCTGAGGTTACATTAGTAACCGGAATGTTCCCTATCAATATAGTTCACTCACATTGCATTAACTTAACACTTACTGTATGGGGAACGATATCCAATAGCACCGTGCTACAAGCGCAGAACAAAAAGCCATCCTACAAGCCCCGCTCAAGGTGAGGGCACTAAGGGCAGAATCTATAAGGGCAGAATTAACCTGGAATCAGTGAGACCCAGGCCATGATAGTAGAGTGTTCGGACAAAAAATGACCCTAATAGGCCTGACAACCAAGGGGTCATCGGATACCCATTTTCCAAAAGATTCTTTAGGGTCTTAATGAAAAGTCTGTAACATAGTTAGGTTAAAATTTCTCAATGGTAGTGTAAAACAACACCGTTTTTACCCTGTCAAAAACAGCTCTGTCTACAAACAGCTCTGTCTACAGCAAGCCGTTTTATTGCACGTCACTTTAAATGCAAATGAGCTCTGCTGACCCCGCCCCTCTCTTCCGAAGCCGCTCTCTGAGAGACAGTAAACTTTAGCCACATTCATTGTGAAACTTGCTAATTAGCACATTATTAGGAAAGCCGATTTGCAAAGATTCATAAAAAAAAACCTTACACTCACTTCATCTGTAGGTGAAGCTGGATCACGAATGATTCGCGCGAAGATAGACATTTAGTTATTTAGGTAGATCAGGGGTGTATTCCCTTCAAAAACAAAGGTAATCTACTGCGTGAAATAATTTAACGAAAAAATCTATAATAATGATTTATAATAATGATAAAGGCGGATCTTTATCATTATAGGGTGGATGTGTACACATACTGTACTGTATAACAAACAAAGTGCAGAATACAAAGAGATGGAATATATAAAGACTTAAACATTTTAATATGTGGCTCCAGTATCGCTAGCAAAGCATCAAACTGAGCCACTGACATCCTGAAATAAACTTTGAATCGCTCAGGATAATCCCGCAGCTCCTTGATAAGTGAACTATCCTTTCTCTCTACGCAATCTCAGGATTGGATGGACCCAATATTTCCTTTCTTTTTCTCTTTTTAAGAAGAGAGAGGACAACAAAATCATCCTCACTGCTTAAAGACTCCATTTTGTATTGTTTTGCAAATTTTTTCACAACAGATTAATTAGTGTGCAAGGTTTTTGTGCGTGACGAATTTTTAGGATGATGAATATGAAAAAACCCCCCGCAAACGTAAATTCCGCACTCGGTGTGTAAGGACCTTAACTCTGGGAACCACGATTGGTTTCTCCAGAGGGGGCCACCAGAAGGACCGAGCATCTGTTCTCCCTGACTTAAAATAGTCCTGACCTGATTCATGGGCTAGCACTTCTGGTTCCTTTGAGAAAAATATTGGGCAACGAGAGCTGTCTTCTGAAGCGACAGGTTGACCTCTGCCTTCCCAAAGACCTCCGAGATCATTTGAACTGTTTTGGGGTGGAGTCTCCATTCCCCTCTGCTCTTGAGGAATGGGCCAAAATACCAGCAACCGTGTGTGAAAACCTTGTGAAGACTTACAGAAAATGTTTGACCTCTGTCATTGCCAACAAAGGGTATTTAACAAAGTATTGAGATGAAATTTTGTTATTGACCAAATACTTGTTTTCCACCATAATTTGCAAATAAATTCTTTAAAAATCCTACAATGTGATTTTCTGGATTTTTTTTCTCATTTTGTCTCTCATAGTTGAGGTATACCTATGATGAAAATTACAGGCCTCTCTCATCTTTTTAAGTGGGAGAACTTGCACAATTGGTGGCTGACTAAATACTTTTTTGCCCCACTGCATGCCCACTCCCTGGTTCAACATGTCCATCAAGTGCACTGCCTTTAGTGTGCCCATATGAGGAAGCGCCTCACCAACTTCTATAGAGGCCACGACCTGACACCACCTTGGTGGTTTATGTAGGCCACCACTGTCATGATGTCGGAATGGACCAGGATGTGGTACCTCTTTAGGGCTAACAGGAGCGTTTTGAGAGCCAGGACAAACACCATCATTTCCAGGTTGTTTATATGTTTCCTGGACCAGGAGCCTAGTTGGAACCTGAGTTGAAAGCATCTGTCATCATGACCACCTTCCTTCTGGAAACCAGTCCCAGCTGAGTACCTGTCTGATACAGGCGAGGGGCCTTCCATGGGGCCACAACTGTGAGTCACCTTGAGGCAGAGGCATTCCAGATGCCAAGCACGGGACGGGACATGGGTTTTAGCCAGTACTGAAGGGGCTGCAAATAAAGTGGGCCCAATGGAACTACTGAGGACGTGGCTACCGTCAGGCCCAGCATCCTATGGAAAGTCCTGAGGGGAAGAGAACTTTCAGCGATCATTCCGAGCCAGGCCCGCATCTGGGCTTAATTGAAATGTGTTCCCAGGAAAGTGATTCACTGCCTTGGAGACAGGGAGTTTTTATTGACCCTGATTCCAAGTGACAGAGGAGCAATGACCTGTGGGCACAAAAGTCATGCTCCGAGTCCGACTGGGTCTTTCTCAGAGGGGAGAGTGCCACATCCACGCACTTCATAAAGGTGTGTGGTGACAGAGACAGTTACAAACGGGAGGACTGTATGCTGTCAAACCACCCCTCAAACGTGAATCTCAAGAATGGTCTGTGATGAGGGGCTATCTGGATATTAAAATAAGCAGTGCCAACTTATAGTAGCAGATGGCCCTGCTCGTTTTGGCAGGCTGAAATGGCATTTATTCGTGCAGCTTCAAGAAAGATATTAAATTTAGAGCTTTTTCACATTTGGCTCCCAAACTCTGGAATAGCCTTCCTGATAACTTTCGGGGTTCAGACACACTCTCTCTGTTTAAGTCTAAATTAAAGGCACATCTCTATAGCCAAGCATTCACATAATATAACCTTGTACTTCAGTTATATCTGATCAAATGCACATTATCACTCTTTTGCTTGGTTAGAACAGCAGCTACGCTAATTATGTCTCTATTTGTTTCTCTGTTTCTGCTGCGGGATGGACATCCTGAGGTAACTAGGAATTACACAAGCTTCAGTCTGGATCCAGCCCTTACAAAGACCTGAGATGACCGAACACCTGAACCGGAACAACATACAGAACTACCACATTTTGCTATAAGTTTAATCACAACATATAATCACTGCTGTTAATAGTATTCACCATCTGTTTGATTACATGATTTTTACTGTAGATTTCTGCCATATGGACATCAACTTGACCACTGATAAGCTACTACTAAATATCACGTAGAAACTTAAATTTTCTATAAAGTTGTTTCTATTTGTATCGTGAAAAGCGCTATACAAATAAACTTGAATTGAATAATTGAATAATTCGGAGAAACTGAGCTTCCCCATATGTGTTAAGTTAACGCAATGTGAGTGAACCATATTCAAAGGGAAACACCAAGTGCTCTTATTAGACTACTGGTCACGGCTTAAAATGTCAGTATTCAGAATAATTTACTCTTCTTACTACATACAGGATATTTCTGTCTTACAGACTATATTTAACGCATAATTTGGGTATTTGC